ATGGTTTTCAAAATGTTTTACAAATATCTGAAAAGTATGACGTGCAGTTGTATTTAGCCCCCTTTACTCTGATAACCCTAACTGAAATCTAGTGGGACCAATTGCCTTCAGAAGTCACCTAATTAGTAAATAGAGTCCACTTGTTTGTAATGTAATCTCAGTATAAATACAGCTGTTCTGTGAAGCCCTCAGAGGTTTGTTAGAGAACATTAGTAAACAAACAGCATCATGAAGGCCAAGGAACACACCAGACAGGTCAGGGATAAAGTTGTGGTAATGTTTAAAACAGGGTTAGGTTATAAAAAAAAATACCATGCTTTGAACATCTAATGGAGCACTGTTCAGTCCGTCATCCAAAAATGGAAAGAGTACGGTACAACTGCAAACCTACCAAGACATGGTCATGCACCTAAATTGACAGGCCAGGCAAGGGGAGCATTAATCAGAAAAGCAGCCAAGAGGCCCATGGTAACTCTGGATGAGCTGCAGAGATCCACACCTCAGGTGGGAGAATCTGTCCACAGGACAACTATTAGTCGTGCACTCCACAAATCTGGCCTTTATGGAAGAGTGGCAAGAAGAAAGCCGTTGTTGAAAGAAAGCCATAAGAAGTCCTATTTGCAGTTTGTGAGAAGCCATGTGGGGGACACAGCAAACATGTGGAAGAAGGTGCTCTGGTCTGATGAGACCAAAATTTTGAACATTTTGGCCTAAAAGGAAAACCGTATGTGTGACGGCAAACAAGAACTGCATATCACCCTGAAAACACCATCCCCACTGTGAAACCTGGTGGTAGCGGCATCATGTTGTGGAGATGCTTTTCTTCAGCAGGGACAGGGAAGCTGGTCAGAGTTGATGAGAAGATGGATGGAGCTAAATACAGGGCAATCTGAGAAAAAAACCTGTTAGAGTCTGCAAAAGACTTGAGACTGGGGCGGAGGTTCACCTTCCAGCAGGACAACAACCCGAAACATCCAGCCAGAGCTACAATGGAATGGTTTAGATCAAAGCATATTCATGTGTTAGAATGGCCCAGTCACAGTCCAGACCTAAATCCAATGGAGAATCTGTGGCAAGACTTGAAAATTGCTGTTCCCAGACGCTCTCCATCCAATCTCAATCTGACAGCTTGAGCTTTGTTTCTAAGAATGGGAAAAAATGTCCCCCTCCTAGATGTGCAAAGCTGGTAGAGACATCCCCAAAAAGACTTGCAGCTGGAATTGCAGCGAAAGGTGGTCCTACAAAGTATTGACTCACGCCACATTTTTCAGATATTTATTTTTAAAAATGTTGAAAACCATTTCTCATTTTCACACATTATGTGCCACTTTGTGTTGGTCTATCACATAAACTCCCAATAAAATACATTTGTGCTTTCGGTTGTAACATGACAAAATGTGAAAAACTGGGTATGAATGCTTTTTTTAAAGCACTGTATTTGCCCCTCAAACTGTTATAGTTACTTGTACCATAAAGAGAGCCTGTTACTACAGCCATCAATGGATATCATGCCTGACCTGTCATCGGTGAGGGGGTCACCCACCAAAAGTTCCTGCGACATAAAGATGGACCACCTATTACATTAAGATGTACAAATACTGCATGTCAGCATTATGTACTGCATGACAGAATTTTGTTTTAATTTTTTTTCAGTACGATTATATGGAGAAAAGTTTATATTACAAGCTTATTCCCCAACAAAGTCAGCCTGGATGAATGTGTGCTTTGATGACTGGAACAGCAATTATGAAATTCCAACATGCCAATCCATAGGCTACAAGAGGTAGGTATTGCATTTCATTTAATTCACACAAAGGACTGGGAACTGTCCATGTCATCTGACCCTGAGATACTATGCACTGTGAGGTCAGAAGTATATGGACATCATTGGACATCCTTCTAAATTAAAGTCAGGTCCATAAAACCATGCTTTTTTTACTGTGGTGTTGAGGAACTAGAGTGTTCTGCAAAAATCTTTTTCCTCAACCCTACTGTACACCTTTTCAGATGAAATGATTGTGAGCCAGGCCTTTTCCTCCAACATCAATTGTTCACAAATTCCCCAAATACACTCTTCATGAGGTATGAAGGCTGGTATAGCCATAAACGGAGGACAAACTCTATAATCATGCACATGGTTTTAGAATGTGATGTCCAACAAAGTTCCTACAGGTGTGATGGGAACAGACCTTTGGCTACAATAGCATTAAAAAAATAAAATATAAAGACACGTTATATTATTTATTAGAATAGTTATTGCTATTGCTTTTTTTTGTTTTTCTTGTCTTTAGGGATTTTCTGCTTCTTTTTACAGATTTTCTTTCATGAGAAGAATCATCCTTCTATATAAACTGTGATAAAACATTTTCTCTTTTTTTCCACCTCAGGTCCAGTTATTATAACACTTTTCTGCAAACTGTCACATCAGACTTGAAAGGTTTTGCCAGTATAAACACCAGTGTATCTTTCAACAAGCTGTATACTAGTGTCCGAAGCAGGTATGTTATCAGATTATTCATTCATGAAAAATTGCAATCATTTCCATACACGGGCTTCCCTGTTCTGCAGACCAGAAGCCACCTTTTTTTCTAGTCTGATCAGAGGAAATTGAATTCTGATTGTTTGCTGTAGGCTAATGCACTTTGTGTTTAGAAGCTGTAAAAGATGATTGCTCTACCAAGCACAGCACACATACTGTATGTCATGAGCAATTATGGTTGACACCATGAACCAATGATACACACCAACGTGTGTTCAAGATTGAGAGAACTTGAACATGCATGTAACATCAATAACATCATTAGAAATTATAGACCAGCCTTTAGTAACCAGGGTTCTGTGGAACTTTAGGAATCTTCCAGAGGTAACTAGGGGTTCCTAGAAGAGTTAACAATTTCTGCCTCTCAGATAAGTTCCCACTGAAACCAATTATCTTTTTAGCTATCCGAAGATGGGAGATTCTTCCCACTGATCACCAATGTAAGGAGAATTCTTCCCACTGATCACCAATGTAAGGAGCATTCTTCCCACTTATCAATATAAGGAGCATTCTTCCCACTGACCACCAATGTATGGAGAATTCTTCCCACTGATCACCAATGTAAGGAGCATTCTTCCCACTTATCAATATAAGGAGCATTCTTCCCACTGACCACCAATGTATGGAGCATTCTTCCCACTGATCACCAATGTATGGAGCATTCTTCCCACTGACCACCAATGTAAGGAGCATTCTTCCCACTGATCACCAATGTAAGGAGCATTCTTCCCACTGATCACCAATGTAAGGAGCATTCTTCCCACTTATCACCAATGTGAGGAGCATTTCTCCCACTGATCACCAATGTGAGGAGCATTTCTCCCACTGATCACCAATGTGAGGAGCATTTCTCCCACTGATCACCAATGTGAGGAGCATTTCTCCCACTGATCACCAATGTGAGGAGCATTTCTCCCACTGATCACCAATGTGAGGAGGAGCATTTCTCCCACTGATCACCAATGTGAGGAGCATTTCTCCACTGATCACCAATGTGAGGAGCATTTCCCCACTGATCACCAATGTGAGGAGCATTTCTCCCACTGATCCCACCAATGTGAGGAGCATTTCTCCCACTGATCACCAATGTGAGGAGCATTTCTCCCACTGATCACCAATGTGAGGAGCATTTCTCCCACTGATCACCAATGTGAGGAGCATTTCTCCCACTGATCACCAATGTGAGGAGCATTTCTCCCACTGATCACCAATGTGAGGAGCATTTCTCCCCACTGATCACCAATGTGAGGAGCATTTCCCCCACTGATCACCAATGTGAGGAGCATTTCCCCCACTGATCACCAATGTGAGGAGCATTTCCCCCACTGATCACCAATGTGAGGAGCATTTCCCCCACTGATCACCAATGTGAGGAGCATTTCCCCCCACTGATCACCAATGTGAGGAGCATTTCTCCCACTGATCACCAATGTGAGGAGCATTCTTCCCACTGACCACCAATATGAGGAGCATTCTTCCCACTGACCACCAATGTAAGGAGCATTCTTCCCACTGACCACCAATGTAAGGAGCATTCTTCCCACTGACCACCAATGTAAGGAGCATTCTTCCCACTGATCACCAATTAAGGGACATTCTTCCCCCACTGACCACCAATGTAAGGAGCATTCTTCCCACTGACCACCAATGTAAGGAGCATTCTTCCCACTGATCACCAATGTAAGGAGCATTCTTCCCACTGATCACCAATGTAAGGAGCATTCTTCCCAATGGTCACCAATGTAAGGAGCATTCTTCCCACTGATCACCAATGTAAGGAGCATTCTTCCCAATGGTCACACAATGTAAGGAGCATTCTTCCCAATGGTCACCAATGTAAGGAGCATTCTTCCCACTGACCACCACCAATGTAAGGAGCATTCTTCCCACTGACCACCAATGTAATATAGATTATACTCTCCTACAAACCTACTCCTCCAGGATCCTTACGAAGTTGTTTGCCCAGGGCTGCTTAGTAGTTAACCAGAGTCTTCAGCCTTCATTTATTTCTATGGAAAGCCCATTTGTCAGCTTATCAGCATGTAGACAAGTTTTCTATTAAAGTGAATGGTATTATGCTTGCACAGGTGTAACCCTAAAAACTTCCGGAAAATTTGGGCAGGGACTGTGTTCTGGACAGGTTACATAGTGAAGGGCTCAGAGGAGCAGGGTTGTAGTTATGTATGATCTATGTTTTGTGAAGGATGTGAACTCCTTTTTTTTTTTTTTTTTTTTTTTCTTCTCAACTTGGGCAGAAGGCGAACATTTTTGTCCAGACTGGGTCTAGGTTTCAAGGTGCAATCAGTCCTTGCAAAGAATACTGTAACACAAGAACTTCAGCATTTGCCACCTAAGGCACTATTGCAGACCAAATTGCATTCACTTTAACTATATTTCTTTACTACATTTTTTGTTTAAATGTTTGCTCAAAATCACAGTTTTATTACATGTCACTGCTTTGATTTTTTTCAGGGATTTCTGTCCATCTGGAAAAGTGATCTCCCTAAGGTGCATAGGTAAGCCTTCATTTCTTTTAAGGAGATGACCGTTCAGTAAACCAGAGGAAAGAAATTAATTTTAGCCACCACTAAGATTTCAGCTGTTTTATTGTGTGCATTCCATAATGAATGAAAGAATTTAAATTAGTCAGTGAACCTTCCACATAATAGCCACTGGTATAGGCCATTAGTATGTATCTTTTTGAATTGTTTTAGACCTTATGAATAAAAATCATTAAAAGGGAACTGTTTGCGCTGTCATTAGAAAGCATGAAAGCAGACATTACAACACTCCCTGGTGGGAAGGAAGAATGAGTATCTATCTTCTTAAAGCATTGGCTAATTTTGTGCTCTCAGGCAGGGGCGGACTGACAACTCATGGGTCCCCCGGGCAATAGGGGATCATGGGGCCCCCTGTGTCCTTGCCCAAACTCAAAAAAGCCTATGAAAAAGGTACCAGGAGCATCTCATGGGGCCCCCTACTGACCCCAGGCCCCGGGCAGTGCCCGAGTTTCCAAATGGTCAGTCCGCCCCTGCTCTCAGGTGTTATAATAGAAAACCTTGGCACCTCCCCACTGTAGTAATGTCCCTGTTGTGTAGCAGGAAGACATGTAGGAATATTAAATATTCTATTCTTGGTTCAGACTTTCCTTGTGGACTCCTGTAGATCTCTAGCATGGTCTACATGACTAAAGGGGTGGTAATACGCAACCTCCACCACTTGGAACACTAGAAGAGGTCCAGGCTGGCCTCAGGAAGGGTGAATGAGTATCTATTTTTTTTAAAGAATAGACCACATTCTCATAATCTCACGTCTGACGGTCTAAGACACCTCCCCAGAGTAGTAATGTACCTGTTGTGTAGTGGAAACACATGCAGGAATACTAAATCTTCCATACTTGGTTCTGGATTTCCTTGTGGAACCCTTTAGCTCCCTAGCATGGGCTTTCCAAGAGTCTCAGTGACCAATGGGGTGGCAATACACAAACCGCATGGTTTGGAACACTAGTAGAAGACCAGGCTGGCCTGACCAGAATTCAAGTCCACCTTCTTTAAGCTCATTTTGCCTGTAGATTGTGCCCCATCCTGCCACCAGAAACAAGTTCATTCCAAGAGCAATTTCCCATTGCCTGATAGGAAAAAAAGGTCTATGCAGTGTTTTCATAACATTATCAATATGTAATAGAGTTCAGCATACAGACAGTCCTCTTGAGTAATGATGGCCCATACTTAATGAAACCAGCTTTGGTGTGGGGGGAATGTAAAGCTACGCCCCTAGCTTTACGTCAGGGTGTCTAAGGCCCCATTCTTGGAGAGCGGGAGATGTCTATGGCCAATTGGGAATATCCTTCCCAGACTAGTCTCACTAGATGCTTGCTTATGGATGTCAGACCTTTCACTCCAGGGAGATGGTTGGGGTTTGGTGACTAATGGAAATAATGAAAAAGGATGAATGAAAGCAGATTAAGGCATCTTTCACACGGATGGTTGTTCTGTCGCTTGTAAGTGCCTGTTTTTTTTTAAATTTTGAAATTCCAACACTCCTAGCACACAGATCACTCACTTTTGTAATTTGCGTTGATTTGTGTTTACTACCACAGCTAAATGCAGCCGCATGCAAATGCACGCAAATTCTTGTTTTTTTACTACCACTTTAATATTCAGTTCAAATATCCAATATTATGAAAAATAAATTCTTGTTTATTTCATCTGCATATGATTCTGTAATTACAAATCTTCAATTTTTTTATGTATTTTTGAGTGTGAACTTTCTCAAATTCTGTAGTATATTAGTTCAGACTTTGGGTCATCAGTTTGTACCCAAACTACTACACTACATGAAGTTTGCATATTCTCCCTGTGCCTGCGTGGGTTTCCTCCGGGTACTCCAAAGACATGCTGGCAGGTTAATTGGCTCCTGTCTAAACTGGCCCTAGTATGTGTATTTATTTATTTATTTTTAATTACAGGTATTGATATAGCAGCAGCACTTTACATATATTGTACATTCACATCAAACCCTGCCTTCAAAGAGGTTATGTGAGTTATGGACCTTGGATTATAAATTCCTTGAAAGCAGAGACTGATGTGCATGCACAATATAAATATATATACAGTATGTGTGTATGTGTGTGTGTGTGTGTGTGTGTGTGTGTGTATATATATTTATTTTAATTATATAATTTTTTATATATATTTTTTTCATTTTCAGTCTTTTTTTGTTTTTGTTTTTTTGTCTTTTTATATTTCAATGGTTTTCATTAATTTTAAGCAGTATAAAACAGAGGCAACAAAACACGCCCCCACAGGGGCTATCAATTGCACCAATAAGAAAAAACCTAATAGAGAAACTGTGCTCTAAATCCAACAAGGCAGAAGGTACGCCCACGCTGGGGCTATCAATGGCACATAAGTTACAACAACATTAATGAAACTCTGACTATAACAACTAAAGGGAGCTGTCCACTGCCACCCAAAAACTAACAGAAAAAGGGAGAAAAAAAAAAGAGGAAAAAAAAAAAAGCAGGGGTCCAAGAGCGCCACCACCGAACGCCAATGCCAAACGCCATTACATCCCCATACTAGCCAGAGGGAGCGTGGGAAAGGCATATTGCAACCACGGTTCCCATATTTTCAAAAATTTACATTGGGAGTCGTTGCATATACTCGACATCTGTTCGTTGAGCATCATAGTGGTCATACGATCCCGCACCCCCTGAAGAGGGACAAACGGACTCTTCCAGGCCTGAGCAATTGTTCTAGTGGCCGATAAAAACAAATAGGACGCCAACTTCTGCTGATGAGCCAAGAGGCTCGGTATAGGGCAATGAAACAAGGCATACCGAGCATCCCGGCGTAAGTCTTTTTTCGTATAATAAATAAAGCCCTGGTTTTTGGTGATCAAATACCACTAAAAGAGCGTTCTATTTGAGTGAAAAAAATGATATAAATGTATTTTGGGTACAGAGTTGCATGACCGCGGAATTGCCAGTTAAAGTAGTGCAATGCTGAGTAGCAAAAAATGCCCTGGTCATAAAGCTGGTAAAACCTTCTGAAGGTTTTTTCGCAGCTCTTTACAAATACCAGTTTGAAATAAATAATAATTCAGCCTCATTCCCTTTATGGGCACCAACAAGAAAGAGACAACATACCGTTCGATCAGAATGACATTTAAGGCCTGAATTCTCTATCCGCCTTAGGCCCCCTGTTTGTTGCCCCGTTTGGTATTTTAGGTGGTAGAATTCAAATTTTGGATACTTTTTCCTGCAGATTGTGGAACATCTAGTAAGAATACGGTCAGCAGCAGAATAGTAGGTGGTACACCGGCTCAGAATGGGGACTGGCCCTGGCAAGTGAGCCTACAAATCGGCAGATCACATGTTTGTGGCGGGTCGATCATTACCCCGGACTGGATTCTCACTGCTGCACACTGCGTAGAAGGGTAAGCTCCTATCATATGAGTTAGAAGGTCATAATGGAGATTTTTGCATATGTTAACTACTTCCTGACCGGCCGTTGCATATAAACGGCCGGAGGGTCGCACTGTAGGGTCGGGTGGCCGTTTATAAACGGCCTTCCCGCACCCTGCTTGTGCATGCTCCCTGGGAGCACGCAGCACCGCGATCCGGTGCCCGCTGTGTCCTCCGGACACAGTGAAACACCGATCATCGGACGGGACCTCTGTACGAGGTCCCGATCATGTGATCACTGATTGGCCAATCAGTGATCATATGCAAAGTAGTAAGCAAAATGTCACTTGTGACGACATTGCTTACTACGTGTGAAATCTGTGAATGATCACAGAGGTCACATGGTACAAGGCTATTCACAACATGTACCGTGTGTGACAAGCTGTGACCAATCGCAGCTCACTCAGTACCTCAATGACTGCAAGAATGCACACAGAGAGAAAGAGAAATGATTGCTTTTTTTTACATCCTATATGGGTGTAAAAGCAATCGGGACGTTCAAAAAAAAAAAAAAATCTTCATCACCCCCCACAAGTAGTACAGTGTCACCATGGTGATACTGTACTGCTAGGGTGACAGTATGTAAAAAAAAAAAAGTACAAACAAAAAAATAAGATAAAAATGTAAAAAAAAATGTTTTTTGATTATAATTTTTGCTTATAAACTAATTTGGATTTTTTTTTTTTTTACTAAAAAGATAACGGAATAAACTTTGGCAAAGATTTATGATGAAATATTATTTATTTGCAAAATAAAAAATAAAAAAAACACTTTTTTTCAAAATTTTTTGACTTTTTTCATTTACATAGCAAAAAAAAAAAAAAAAATCCCAGCAGTGAATAAATACCACCAAAATAAAGCTTTATCTGTCTCAAAAAAATGGTAAAAAATTCAATTGGGTACAGTGTTGCATGACCGCGCAATTGTCATTCAAAGTGTGATAGCGCTGAAAGCTGATAATTGCTCTGGTCAGGAAGGGGGTAAAAGTGTCCGGACTGGAAGTGGTTTAAAGTGTTACTAAACCCACAACAGGACAATCAGTCTGTATATGCAGTAAAGCATGCTTGTTATACTCACTTCGGAACCTTCTATATACTGCTGATGAGAAAAGGGCTTTTGAATGAAATTAGTTGACTTCTTAATGGCAATGATTTTCATACAAACATTCAAATAAAATTGTACTTGTGTGTCCCCAGCTCTAGAGTGTCTCACCAAAACCAAAAGCTCTTATTGAAGGGGATGCTTGAAATTTGAAAATTTTGCATTTCTGTGCAGACTGTGGGTCTCCCTAGGGCTACAGTCTCCCAAGAGGGAAAGCAATGAGCCAGTCACAGTCACAGCAGGAGATGAGCTTTCTAGGGCCAAAAATTTGGCTCTAAGGTTGCCAAATTGCAAGGAATCAACATTTGGATTTTTTTTTACTGATTTAAAAAATGATCGTAGGCAGAATAGCAGGGAAGTTCATGAAATCCTTGGATGTGTTTTTAAAAGATCATCCACACGCCATCTCTCAGTCCCCTAAACGTGACTCTATTGGCTAAAGGAGCTTCTGCAGCAAAGGGCCCATTCACACCAGATGCGATGGGATGCATTTTTGAATGCATTCCCACTGAATAAACAATCCAAAATCCATGTTATCTAATAGGCAATGTTCATACCATTGCAGTGCAGTAAACAAAGTACAGTAAGTTGCATTTTTTTAAAATGGAAATGTGTGTAAATGCAAGTAAATACACTGCTCAAAAAATTAAAGGAACACTTTTTAATCAGAGTATAGCATCAAGTCAATTAAACTCCTGGGATATTATCTGGTCAGTTAAGTAGCAGAGGGGGTTGTTAATCAGTTTCAGCTGCTTTGGTGTTAATAAAAATTAACAACAGGTGCACTAGATGGGCAACAATGAGATGACCCCCAAAACAGGAAAGGTTTTACAGGTGGAGGCCACTGACATTTTTTTCTACTCTTCATTTCTGACTGTTTTTCACTAGTTTTGCATTTGGCTAGGATCAGTGTTACTACTGGCAGCATGAGGTGATACCTGGACCCTACAGAGGTTGCACAGGCAGTCCAACTCCTCCAGGATGGCACATAATACATGACATTGCCAGAAGGTTTGCTGTGTCTCCAGCACAGTCTCTAGAGCATGGAGGAGATTCCAGGAGACAGGCAGTTACTCCAGGAGAGTTGGACAGGGCTGTAGAAGGTCCTTAACGCATCAGTAGGACCGGTATCTGCTCCTTAGTGCTCATCCTGTGCCTCCTTTCATAGCCAGAACCCAACAAAATGATCTCCAGCAGGCCACTGGTGAGTGAATGTCTCTGATCAAACAATCAGAAACAGACTTCATGAGGGTAGCCTGAGGGCCAGACGTCCTCTAGTGGGCCCTGTGCTCACTGCCTGGCATCATAGAGCTCACTTAGCATTTGCCATTGAACATCATATTTGCAGGTATGCCACTGGCACCCTGTGCTTTTCACAGATGAGAGCAGGTTCACCCTGAGCACATGTGACAGACTTTTCAAAGAGTCTGGAGAAGCCGTGGAGATAATTATGTTGCCTGTAACATCGTTCAGCATGACCGTTTTGGTGGTGGGTCAGTGATGGTCTGGGGAGGCGTATCAATGGAGGGATGCACAGACCTCTACAGGCTAGACAATGGCACCCTGACTGCCATTAGGTATTGGGATGAAATCCTTGGACCCATTGTCAGACCCTATGCTGGTGCAGTGGGTCCTGCATTCCTCCTGGTGCACGATAATGCACGGCCTCATGTGGCGAGAGTATGCAGGTTGCATCTCAGACTGTCCAGGAGCTCAGTGATGCCCTGGTCCAGATCGGGTAGGAAATACCTCAGGACACCATCCGCCGTCTCATTAGGAGCGTTCCCCGACATTGTCAGGCATGCATACAAGCACGTGGGGGCCATACAAACTACTGATGACTATTCTGAGTTGCTGCAATGAAATTTCAGCAAAATGGACTAGCCAAAGCTGCATCATTTTTTTTCACTTTGATGGAAATGAAAATGATCAACCTACAGAGGTTTGAATTAAAAGACACCCCGAAAGTCAAACGATGGGGCATCCTTATGTTCTTAACACATTACCCAGTCCATATCAGTATAGATATCCAGCAGGAGATTTTTCCCCATTGAGATCTGATGTGTTTTCAAAGTGTTCCTTTAATTTTTTTGAGCAGTGTATAAGTGGAACATAAAAGTCCAAAGAAGAAAGAAAGAAGGAATGACCTCAAAGAAAATGCAAGCCCCTAAAATGCTCAGGAAAAACAGACTGTAAACAAGCATAAAAATTGGGTCAAAAGCACATCAATGTGCATTTTTCTGGGGGGAATGGGCCCAGAGAGTCAGAAGCTGCAAGATTTCTAGGAATATGTGCTTGATTTATTGTCTGTTATGAAAAGCAAATGTGTTTTAACAATAAAATATTGATTTCATTCTAGAAGTTATGCTAAGCCCAACCAGTGGAACGTCTATGCTGGGTCAACCATCAGATCAGCTGGTTCTGTCTCCTTAGTTGAACAAGTCATTTCGCATCCCAACTACGACACAGAAACCAAGAACAATGATATAGCACTGATGAAGCTAAAAACCAGCCTAACTTATAGTTGTACGTACGCTCTTCAACAGACTATGCATTGTATGATTGTAGTATTTAACTCACAGTATGGGCTTTACCATTTAGTGCCTCATCCAAATGCTTGCCATTAGACCTAATGCAAGCACTGGGCTGGCACTTGGGAGGAGCTATGCAAATGTAAAAATGCCTTGATGGGTGGTTGTCCGTCATCTGCATGTAGACCACGCTAGGTAAGGCCCACATGTGATGCTGATCTTCCATAACTAAAAGAACTGAAATCCAAGGAATGAAAGCTGGCAAGGGAAAAGTCTAGATAAATGCTGGACGTCTTCCAGTCAGGAGATGAGGAGGCCTCTTGCTGCACCTTCTAATGCACATTGTAAGAAGCTCACAGCTTGCAGTGAAATAAGTTTCGGTGTAGAAGAGGAGTCTATACAAATCTGCAAGACTGAAGGGAACAGCTTTAAACGTGAGTCCTAGATCTTGATCCAGGACCATCCAAGGCAGAGCAGCAGGTTTGTCGTAAGGCTCGTAGACATAAGAAAATTATAGGAACATTTCCGTATGACGAACAAATGACTGGTTATCTGATCGTTGGTATAATGTTTTCGACAGCCAATTCCGACTTTTCAGACAGCAAAAACTGAGGATGCAAGCTAGAACTTTTTTTTCATAGGTGAACACAATGTCTGAGTTTCTTTTAATGTGTACAGTAATTGTATGGAGAGAATTGAATAGAAAAAAAATGTGCATGATCAGAAGCATAGAACAACCCTACACTTCCTCTTCTACTACTATGCTAGTATGTAGCTACAAAGGCCTATGTTTTGCCTTTTGTTGGACGAGGATTTTCTTACAAGTCAATACCATTCTGATCACATCATGGCCCAATTTTCTCATAGTGTGTACTAGGCTTAAATTTCTCCCCTCATCAAGAGTTTATTCTCACCCTAACTTTACTCTCTACCCCTTCCTCCATGTAGCCAACAGGAGCAAGTAAATTCTTGGGACTTCTGAGTATGGAGAATCTGAATTTGGCTTTTACTCTATTCAATAACACTGGTTGGCCCAACATTGTCACATGGGGGACAGGGAAAGTCCCAAGCCCCATTTTTTAAGTTCCAACTGGAGCAATTTGGAGCTTATATGGGGCTATTTTTCAGCTGAATGGAGCTTTGGAGAATGGATGAAAGTTGGGCATCTACTGCTAGGAAAATAGGCATATTGGTGAATTTGTTGCTTTACTTTGCCCTACATGGGAAGGAAAAGCTGCATTTCCTAATATTTCCCCATACAACAGAATACAACAACACAACTGTGTCTGCCAAATGGGAATATCATTTTTTTTTTTTTTTTTAGCTTGGTAATTTTATTTAGACTAGCGTGTTTGATACATGATAAATTCACTGATCGGGTTCACTTTTTTTTTTTTTTTTTTTTTTTTTTAGCTACTATCAAGCCGGTTTGTTTACCCAACTCTGGAATGCCATGGAGTGACACCCAGTCCTGCTGGATCTCTGGCTGGGGTCACACTTCTCAAGGAGGTGAGAGACACAGCTGTACAGCATACATTCAGATAAGACCCTATACATGATTATTCTTAGATTGTAAGCTCCCAGGATCAGGCCCTCCTAACCCTCTTGTATTGAACTGTATTGTTGCTGTATTGTCTCCCGTTATATTGTAAAGCGCCGAGCAAACTGTTGGCGCTATATAAATCCTGTATAATAATAATTATTATTTTATATAGTACCTGTGATTTCATTGTTCTGCGTAGAGCAGTGGTCCACTTTCTTGGTCGTGGGGGACTCAAGTGCAGCCTCACTTCACCAAAGGGCCGCATAAAATTTTTCAGTGAATTTAATACAACAGAAAACTGTTAGAGACATCATACAAGCAATAGGAGATGGTCAAAGACTATGAGCAATGCTACAAGAGATGGTCATACTGGGGACATGCTCCAGGAGATGGTCATAACCTATAGACATATGAGACACATATGAGACTAGAGATCACTGGTACTACTCCCCTTGGCTTAATAGTGCTTCCCTATCCACTTTCCTTCAGGAAGAATTACCCCCCACCCCCACCCCCACTTCATGACCTGGCCATTTTTTTTTGCTATACGGCACTGTGCTACTTTACCTGACAATTGCATTTTTAATTTTTTTTTTTTCAAAACCCAGTGGTGATCAAATTGTTTGGAAAAAAAAAAAATTACATTTTAATATGTGTTCAGTGTACCATGGAACACTGTACACAAATTACATTTTCTGCTTTTTTTTAGAAAAATCTGACCACCACTGGGTTGCGAGAAATTAAAAAAAAAAATTAAAACAGATGTATATAATATATATATAAATATATATATATATATATATTTTTTTTTTTATTTACGGTTTGCTATAAAAACATATCCAGTTAAAATATAAAATGTCTTCAGAAATGAAGGCCAAAATGTATTCTGCTACATGTCTTCGGGAAAAAAAATCCTAATAAGTGTAATAATTGATTTGCGTGAAAATTATAGCATCTACAAACAATGGCATAGATGCTGGAATTTCTTCTATACTAGTAATGGTGGTGATTAGCAACTGCTATAAAACATCAAATAAAAAAAATAACATTTCCTCATAAATTTAGGTCAAAATGTATTCTGCTACATGTCTTTGCTAAAAAAAAAAAAAAAAAAAACCCAATAAGTGTATATTAATTGGTTTACGTGAATGTTATAGTGTCTACAAATGGCGGTATACACACTGGATTTTTTAATTATTTTATTTTTTTATACTAGTAATGATGGTGATCAGCAACTTATAGCGGGACTGCAGCAGGCATTCTGACACTGGGGGGGGAACTAAATAACTGCCACTGACATCCCCAGTGACATTAATACAGTGATCAGTGTTAATAAAAAGCACTGACACTGTACTAATGATACTGGGCAGGAAGGGGTTAACATCTGGGGCGATCAAAGGGTTAACTGTGTGTTCTGGAATGTTTTTGGTGTGCCCTGTATACTGTATTACTAGGGGATGTCCTGGTTTTATCTCCCTGATTTGCAGGGAGATAAAAACCGGCACATTCCCGCTGACAGGAGAGAGATCTTTATTGTTTACATACACAGATCTCTCTTCTGTCTGTTGCTCCGTGGATCACCGGGTCCTGACCATGAATTTCTGGCTGGGACCCGGTGTTTGACATGTAAGGGAGCCAGGGACATCTTGGGTAGGTGGGCACGTGCACCCCTAACCATAAAAGGCAGAATGACGTGTATAATACATGATTCTGCACAGAGCGGCCACCCTAAAGCTGCTATAGGATGGTCATCAAATTGGATATAGACCCCTTAAAATGTAACTTTGCCACAGTTGATATTCTGCTCAGCAAGATCCATTAGAAAAGACCCGAGAAACAAAAACGTAAATCAAGAAAAGGGATGGACGGCACATAGTTACATAGGTTTAAAAAGTCATACATTTATCTAGTTCAACCAATAACACAGAAAAAGTAAGATGGTGTTAGAGTCAAACCAAACCATTTACCAACTAGAACCCAATCTAAAGAATATTTTCCTTCACTGGCCTAAAGTAAGCACTTAGGAAACAAAAAAAATAGACTGGCTGCAAGGGCCCCAAAGGGTCCACAATGGATTCCAAAGGACAGCAAGTTGGGCACCAAAGGTTTAAGATGGCCTTTCTCAACCATTTTACAACAGAGTAACCCTTAAAGGTATTTCTATGTCTCGGGGAGCCCTTTTTTAAAACCAGTTCATTAAGTTCATTAGTAGTCAGTCAGAAAAATGCCAAAAGAATGCTCTCCTTACAGAGGTGGTCCACTTGCACTCTTGCGGACATCTAATAAAAACCCTCTGGTGTCCTGCCACTGGCTCTGCAAAATATTGTTGGCTCTGGAACTATGCGGGAGGTCAATGGGAGGTTAAATGGTCACAACAAAAGGAACCCTTGGCACCCTTTGGAGGAACCTTAGTGTTTCATGGAGACCCTGGTAGAGAATGGCTTACTTAGATGCTTATAAATAATAACTAAACACATGCACATGCCCAATAAGCAGCAATTTAAAAAGAAAATGTAGATAACAGTATAGAGATGTTAAAGGACAACCAACATTTTAATAAAAGGCTAAAGTTCTGCTTTAAAGATGTGTAACATTGGTGATTGCTTGTTGTTCCCAATCGGTTCATGGAATGGACTACCACCCTAGATCTTCTAAAGCTGCCAAAATATTGAATGCAGGACAAAGAGATGCAGTACTCAATGACCTTGTAATGTTCATATTTCCACACAGGCTCCACTACCCCTAACCTGATGGCAGCTAACGTGCCCTTGATTGACTCGAAAACCTGCAATAAACCTGCTGTTTACAATGGAGCCATCACCTCCGCCATGATATGTGCTGGATACCTCGCTGGAGGGACCGATACTTGCCAGGTATAAGAGTGTTTGTGTGTCCTTAGTATGTGACTTGATTGGATACAGCTGCTATTCAGGTAAAATTTTCTAGTCTATGATAGCTAGCAGGGCCATACGCTGAGCGAATTTCTGATGAACGGGTCGAAATTCATTCAGTATATGACTAGCTTAAGTCAAGACTTGGAGCATGTACAGAGCTCTACCTGCCCTGCATGAGATAACACTTGGACAATCCCCACTTGTCACTACTGCCATGTAGGAGCAAGGGGTGCAAGTCACCTGTTCTCCTCTTTTGATGACCAAATGGAAAGTGTGAACCGTCAAAGCTGGTAAGGTGGAGTACAACAGTTGGATTTTGGGTCTGTAGTTTCTAATGACATCCTTGCTTTTACTACCCAGTGAACTACCTGGAAAAATTGAGTCAATATTCACTTCAATTATCCAATCATGTGAAAAGCAGATTTCTGTTCACGTTGAATACCCAGACAAACTTTCACGTTTGGATAATTAACCACTTCCTGTCCGGACACTTTTACCCCCTTCCTGACCAGGGCAATTTTCATCTTTCAGCGCTATCACACTTTGAATGACAATTGCGCGGTCATGCAATACTGTACCCATATGAATTTTTTACCATTTTTTTTGAGACAGATAAAGCTTTATTTTGGTGGTATTTATTCACCGCTGGGATTTTTAATTTTTTTTGCTATGTAAATGAAAAGTCCAAAAATTTTGAAAAAAAGTGGTTTTCTTATAAAATTTTGCAAATAAATAATCTTTCATCATAAATCTTGACCAAAATGTATTCTGTTATCTTTTTAGTAAAAACAAAAATAAGCCAAATTAGTTTATAACCAAAAATTATAATTTTGGAACATTTTTTTTTACATTTTGTTTTATTTTTTTTATATTATTATTTATGTTTTTTTTTTTTTTTTTTTTTTTTACATACTGTCACCCTAGCAGTACTACTTGATTGCTTTTACACCCATATAGGATGTAAAAGCAATCATTTCTCTTTCTCTCTGTCTGCATTCTTGCAGCCATTGAGAAACACTGAGTGAGCTGTGATTGGTCACAGCTTGTCACATGGTACAAGGCTGTTGTGAATAGCCTTGTACCATGTAACCTCTGTGATCATTCACAGATTTCACACGTAGTAAGCAATGATATCACAAGTGACATCTTGCTTACTACTTTGCATGTGATCACTGATTGGCCAATCAGTGATCACATGATCGGGACCTCGTAGAGAGGTCCCGTCCGCCGATCGGTGTTTCACTGTGTTCGGAGGACACAGCGGGCACCGGATCGCGGTGCTGCGCGCTCCCAGGGAGCGTGCACAGCTAGAAAAGGCGGGTGCAGTTTATAAACGGCAACCCGCCCCTGGAGTGCCACCGCCCTGCCGTTTTTATAAACAGCAGGCGGACGGCAAGTGGTTAAAGTGAATATTCACATAATTTTTTTCAGTGAAGACTCACTTTAGCACTTTGGCCTCATTGCACCAGCACTTTCCTAGAAATCATTACCATGAAAATGATCACCATGTATAATACATAAGGGGGGATATGATCTCCATGTATAATACATAAGGGGGGATATGATCTCCATGTATAATACATAAGGGGGGATATGATCTCCATGTATAATACATAAGGGGGGATATGATCTCCATGTATAATACATAAGGGGGGATATGATCTCCATGTATAATACATAAGGAGGATATGATCACCATGTATAATACATAAGGGGGGGGATATGATCTCCATGTATAATACATAAGGGGGGATCATGACCTCCATGTATAATACATAAGGGGGGATATGATCTCCATGTATAATACATAAGGGGGATATGATCTCCATGTATAATACATAAGGGGGATATGATCAACATGTATAATACATAAGGGGGATATGATCTCCATGTATAATACATAAGGGGGGATATGATCTCCATGTATAATACATAAGGGGGGATATGATCTCCATGTATAATACATAAGGGGGGATATGATCTCCATGTATAATACATAAGGGGGGATATGATCTCCATGTATAATACATATGATCACCATGGGGGGATATGATCTCCATGTATAATACATAAGGGGGGATATGATCTCCATGTATAATACATAAGGGGGGATATGATCTCCATGTATAATACATAAGGGGGGATATGATCTCCATGTATAATACATAAGGGGGGATATGATCTCCATGTATAATACATAAGGGAGGATATGATCTCCATGTATAATACATAAGGGGGATATGATCTCCATGTATAATACATAAGGGGGGATATGATCTCCATGTATAATACATAAGGGGGGATATGATCTCCATGTATAAATACATCAGTGGTTCATATAGTGAACTCGGTGTAGAGTTCTTCACCCTGAGGTCATCACAGAGGACAAGGGGGCACTCTTTACGTCTGGAGGAAAATAAATTTAATCTCCAAACACGGAAAGGTTTCTTCACAGTGAGAGCTGTGAAAATGTGGAATAGACTTCCTCATGAGTTGGTTCTGGCCAGCTCAGTGGATTTGTTTAAAAAAGTCCTGGATTGTTTCCTAGATACACAGAATATAACTGGATATAACATTTATAGGTAAAGTTGATCCAGGGAATATGCAATTGCTTCTTAGGGGATCAGGAAGGAATTTTTTTCCCTGCAGGAGTAAATTGGATCATGCTTTGCTACATTTTTTTTGCCTTCCTCTGAATCAACTGTGGATATAGGATTATAACTTTTTTTTTTTTTTTTATGGTTGAACTGGATGGACTTTTGTCTTTTTTCAGCCAGACTAACTATGTAACTATGCATTGGTGCAGCAATTACAGGGCTCAAACAGGCAGCGAGGAGGTGTCACATGACCTTCTCACTGCCTGTCAAATCTGAACAGATTGCTTTTCAGAGGTGCGGCAGTTTAAACGCAAGTCTAAACTTAGACTTTAAGTGGTAAAAATATGTTCTAGAGCAGATCTTATTTAAAAGGGAGATCTGTTTTTTTACCATGCAGTGTAAGCAAAAAACATAGCATAAAGCATAGTAAACCTTTTTGCAATAAAAACGTCAAAATATGGTAGAGGGGGTGGTAAGGAGAAGGAATAGCAGAACTTCCCTTTTTTTGGTGAAGTTCTGCACAAGGGCGGACTGACAACTCATGGGGCCCCCGGGCAATAGGGGATCATGGGGCCCCTGTGTCCTTGCCCAAACTCAAAAAAGCCTATGAAAAAGGTACCAGGGGCATCTCATGGGGCCCCCTACTGACCCTGGGCCCTCGGGCAGTGCCCGAGTTTCCAAATGGTCAGTCCGCCCCTGCTTCTGCATTAACCTAGAGATTCTGTCAGTTGCACAATTTCTGTTGTAGGGTGACGGCACTTACTCACTGTACCATATCTAAAAAGCATTGTCACACTAGGAAAGGGCTACAGAACCCCCCCTCTCCTCTTCTCTATAACACAGGGGGAGTCCATATGGGTTTTGTAGTCCATAGAGATAAATGGGAAAATTGCTAACTGATAACATTCAGTAAAGGCAGAGATCACAGTAATATGCCCAATATGACTTTTGTCAAGATCGACAGGTTTATTTATTTATTTTTGCGCTTGTCAACCAGATATAACAAAATGATTTAAATTGTATATTTAAAATAACAAAAGAAGTTTATTGTTAGGGTTTACATATACTTTACATGTACAGTACCTGTTGCTTAGGCAAAAGTCCTGCAAATCAAAGGACAGATTTACTTTTTACTGTGTTAATTTAAATTCCAACCAGGGGCGGACTGACCATTTGGAAACTCGGGCACTGCCCGAGGACCCGAGGTCAGTAGGGGGCCCCATGAGATGCCCCTGGTACCTTTTTCATAGGCTTTTTTGAGTTTGGGCAAGGGCACAGGTGCCCCATGATGCCCTATTGCCCGGGGGCCCCATGAGTTGTCAGTCCGCCCCTGAATCCAACTTTAAATAGGATTTCAGAAATGACAATTTTGGTAGTACTTTGCAAAGCTTTTCCTTTAATCATTTTTATTCTATTTGCACAGGGAGACAGTGGTGGCCCCTTGGTCACTAGAACAAATTCATTGTGGTGGCTTGTCGGTGACACAAGCTGGGGAACAGGCTGTGCCAATATTAATAAACCTGGAGTCTACGCCAATGTAACAGTGTTCCTGGACTGGATCTATTTACAGATGCAGGTACGGTAAAATTCAGGTTCCTTCTAGCTATTGTTCTTAACCACAAGAAAAACTACCGTGTGTTCTACCTGCCCAAAACAGGGCATGGGTGCTAGTACCATTTGGCAAATTGACAGGTTCTGTAATCATCTCACTTTCAATATTTTTTGGATCTTCCTGTTCTTGCTCCAGGCTCCTCTCCTTCAGTTGTAATGTTGTGGGTGATGCATTCTCCTAGCTCTGCTTTTACACATAAGAATCTAGGTTCTGTTTTCTCAGGGTGATCCAGTACTCAATATTCACATTTTTCAGGTTCTATATGTGCCTTCTATTGTATAATGCTCCAGGGTCTGGTTCTGGCCATATTAATCTAGTTCTTGGATCCACCTACCCTAATACACTGCTCGAAAAAATTAAAAGAACGCTTTTTAATCCGAGTATAGCATCAAGTCAATGAAACTCCTGGGATATCGATCAGTTAAGTAGCAGAGGGGGTTGTTGATCAGTTTCAGCTGCTTTGGTGCTAATGAAATTAATAACAGGTGCACTAGATGAAACAATGAGACAACCCCCAAAACAAGAATGGTTTTACAGGTGGAGGTGGTTTTACATTGATACCAATGAATGGCCCCCACGCTTGCCTGACCCAAATCCAATAGAAACACCTCTGGGATATCATGTTTCAGTCTATCTGATGCCGCCAGGTTGAACCTCAGACTGTCCAGGAGCTCAGTGATGCCCTGGTCCAGATTTGGGAGGAAATCCCCCAGGACACCATCCATCTTCTCATTAGGAGCATGCCCCGATGTTTTCAGGCATGCATACAAGCACGTGGGGGCCATACAAACTACTGAGGACCATTCTGAGTTGCTGCAATGAAATTTCAGCAAAATGGACTAGCCTGCTGCATCATTTTTTCACTATGATTTTCGGGGGGGCCTTTGAATTCAGTCCTCTGTAGGTCGATTGCTTTAATTTCTATCAAACGATGGGGCATCCTTACATTCTTAACATATTACCTAGTCCATATCAGTATAGATATCCAGCATGGGATTTTTCCCCATTAGGATCTGATGTGTTTTCAAAGTGTTGCTTTAATTTTTCTGAACCGTGTATTTAAGGTTCTAGACTCCCTTTGCCTAATTTGATTCTGGCCCTGCCTACCATAATAGTCCAATTTCTGGTCCTTCCCACTATAATAGTCCAAGTATTAGCCCTTTTCTTGTATTTTGGTCCTGTCTACCATAATGATCCAAGCTTTAGTCCCACCTACCATACTGGTCCGGGCTTTTGTCCCCATCTACCATAATGGTCCAGGCTTTGACCCTGTCTACAATATTGGTCGAGGCTTTGGCCTGGTCTACTATAATGGTCCAGGCTTTGACTCTCTCTACCATAACGGTCCAGGCTCTGTATTAGTCTATCATAATGGTCCATTATCTTGCCTCTTTAACATAATTCCTCAAGATACGGTCCTGTCTACCATAATGGTGCAGGTTTCACCCCTGGCTACCAAAATGGTCAAATATGTGGTCTTCTCTACCCTTAGCATCCAGATTTTGGTGGTATGTACAGTACGGCCTTGTTCACACCATGTGCAGAGATAGGAGTTTTTCTGCATGCGTTCTGCAAGGGCACAAAATAACAATTGTTCTCTGGGTGCCTTGTTCACACCACAACACTTTCTGTGCAGTTATCTGAAATGTCTATAAAATTTACTGAAATGTGCATGAAATCTGATGTAAACTCGAGTCCCTGCCAGTGAAATCTGTGCGTCAGTTTCCATTCGATTTTCTGCACGTATCATGTGAATGAGGCCTAAGGCTCCAGGTTTGGCCACATCTACCCTAAGGGTCCCTTTCTCTTCACATAAGGTTCTCCAGGTCCCTGCTTGCAATGTTTCACGTTCCCTTACCACCTACCACAATGTTTTAGCTTTTGCTCCTCACTATTTCATGTTGTATTTTTTTAATGTGAATAAGGTAAGAGTAGTGAAAAAAGATGAAAACATAAATGGAATATAAACCACAAGCACATTGGTACAAGGCTTGTCTGACTATTCTTCTTGAAACATTTAAGGAAACATTGCCCAAAAAGAATATAGGCTGACATTCCAGATTTTCACATTTTAGTTTCCAAACTCTCATTCTGACCTTCCAGCTTCAATGCTCTCATCCAGAGCTAGTATGCAGATCAGAAATTCTAATTTCACTAGCTGCATGCTTCTTTTTCTTTTTTTTTTTTTTTTTTTTTTTGGGCCATTGAGTCCATAATCCACAAAAACAAATACTGTCAGACAATTAGAACAGTCAAAAAGACTGACAAAAAGGTCACATCCAGGGGCGGACTGACAACTTATGGGGCCCCCGGGCAATAGGGGATCATGGGGCCCCTGTGTCCTTGCCCAAACTGAAAAAAGCCTATGAAAAAGGTACCAGGGGCATCTTATGGGGCCCCCTACTGACCCCGGGCCCTTGAGCAGCGCCCGAGTTTCCAAATGGTCAGTCCACCCCTGGTCACATCCTTATCATTTGACATGAAGGATGGTTCAGATTGAGTCCTCATGCACACGGGACATTTTTACAGCAGCTGTTTTTTGGCTTTTGACGTTTTTCTACAGCCAGTAAACCCCCCAGCATGTTATCCTATGTGTCCATGCACACATACTGAAATCCAACGTTTTTTTTGGCTGGAAAAAAAACCCAGGACTAGTGGGTTTCTAGAGGAGTTTTTTTAGCTGTAAAAATGCTGTAATGCTGAAAATCGCGGTAAATCGTGGCAAACCAGCCTTTTTGGACATTTCTTTGACTAAAAAATTTTTTTTTTGGTAAAAAAAATTTTTTTTAAAAAACACAAACGCAAAAAAAATGGCTAAACGCTAATACAAAAACTCTTAAAACCACTGAAAAACTCAGGTTTTTAACTTGAATTTACACAACTAATGTTATCAGCGTTATAAAAATGCCCCATGTGCATGGAGCCTGGGGAAAAACACTGGTAATAGTATTTTCTAAACTGTGTTTAGGAGCGCTAATGTTTTATTAGTGTTTTACAGTACATTTAGGGGGGGGGGGGGGAGGCTTGAAAAAAGCTATTAGTAGTGTTTTTTTTCTGATGGAAAATGCTCCAAAAAAACTCTACAAAATTAGTTTTTTTTCTGCTCCTAGACGCTGAAGCTCAAAAAATGCTAATAGCCTAAAATCTTGTGCATGGACACTAATTGGCTACTAGGAGCAGAAAAAATATGATGATAATAGCTTCAAGGAGCTTAAAAAAATGCTAATGTGCATGGAGCCTGAGAATGTTTTTTTCTTCCTGAAATTTCAGTGAAAATCAGAAAATTTGTTGGGTGAAATGCTTTGGTGTCAATGGACAGGGGGGAAATTATGATGGTTTTCGGTAATTGTTCAAGGTGCCTTAGGCTTTAAATGGCTCCTGAAGGTTACAGACAGGGGTGAATTTACCACAAGGCAAGCAAGGCATTTGCCTAGGGTGGCATTTTTCATGGGGGGGCAGCATTGCCTATCGGAAGAAGAGACGGAAGAAGGGACACACGTGGCATGGGGACCTGGTGGGTTCCGAGAGATGCTGTGGATTTCATGATGGTGTATGCACAGCCTGATTCTAATTCCTGGGGATGTCCAGAGCTGTGAATGTGAGTGTCTTTCTCTCTCTCTTGCCATGGGGGATGGTGGCTGGTGTATGGGGGGCAGTGGTAGTGGAAGGCTCGGGTGGAGGGCAGGGGTGCTCTTGGTCAATGTTTAGGCTCTTTCTGCTGGGGTGCCAAGTTTTGTATTACCTAGGGCAGAACAAAACCTAAATACACCACTGGTTACAGATCTCTCTTGTGGCAAAAAAGCCCCTCATTGGCCTTATTTTTTTTTTTTTAAAGCAGAAGTACACTAATAATCAAATACACAAAAAAATTTAAAAAAACACAATTAAAAAGAACAGGAAATTAAATGAATGAACCTATTCTAAATACTCCCTCCCCTTCACGATAATAAAAAAAAAAATTTCAAAGGTTAATTTAACCTAAGCAGGTCAGTGAGTAAAATTAAGATTTCCTGCTTTCAATGAAATCACTGTGCCCATTCCTCTGTAACAAGTGTCCAATAAATAGAAACGCATTTTAGGAAGCTCTAATAAATATAGAAGCCATTACAATAATGTGCCTTTTCTTTTTTCAGACCTACAGCTGATGATGTTAGACTGACTGCATCTACTTCTCAGTTAAATGTAAATTTCATAGTGATGGGAACATTCCAAAAAAGAAGAAAGCGCTGCGCACTTTATCGTGTCCCTGGCATATATTTCATGAGCCTTACAGGTGTTCAAAGCAACTGTCTGCCTGATATTCTATTCGGACTGTACTGTATATGTTATTGGGCAAAAGCCACTATTGCTACTTGTAGAAGAACGGAGGCGCCATACTGCCACGTTGTTGAAAGCAGTCATAGCACCAACTAGTGAACAGTCTGTAAATATTTTATACTTTTTCTTTTTTTTTTTTTTTTTTTTTAATGTTTTTATATAGTTACATAGTTAGTCTGGCTGAAAAAAGACCATCCAGTTCAACTATTACAAAAAAAAGTTATAGTCCTATACCCACAGTTGATCCAGAGGAAGGCAAAAAAAACCCCAGCAAGCACATTCCAATTTGCTCCTGCAGGGGAAAAGATTCCTTCCTGATCCCCCGAGAGGCAATCCAATATTTCCTGGATCAACTTTACCTATAAATGTTAGTATCCAGTTATAATCTAGGAAATCTATGAGTGTATCTAGGAAAGAATCCAGGACTTTTTTAAAGCAATCCATGGAGCTGGCCAGAACCAACTCTTCAGGGAGTCTATTAGATATTTTCACAGCTCTTACTGTGAAGAAACCTTTTCGTATTTGGTGATAAAATTTATTTTCCTCCAGACATAAAGAGTGCCCCCTTGTCCTCTGTGATGACCTCAGGGTGAATAACTCTACACTGAGTTCACTATATGAACCACTGATGCAGTTATACATGGAGATCATATCCC